CATGTCTGCATAAAAATCTGTTCACGAAGTTATAGCAATTTTATTCAGAATAGCCAGTGCTTATCTTTATCCTACATAGTATGTTTCCTTTGTTGTATTCCTGTTGAATTCATTACTTCTAGAAATCTTGCAGTACATTCCTTGTAATTTCCTATGTTGACAACCTGACATAAAACGGAAACAGTTTTATGCCTTCCTTTCTGAGCTACATGTCTTTCATTTCATTTTTGCCTTATGACATTGACTAACTTACAGCAGCACGATGCTGAATAAAAGTGATGATAGTGCACATCCTTGCCTTGTTCCCCATCTTTGGGGAAAAGGGTTGGGATTAAAGAGGATCTCAAAGATCTATTTGCACACCCATGTCATAATAACCAAGAAGTGAAAGTAACCAAAATACCTATTAGCAAATGAGTGAATTTTTTAATGCAAAAAAGAGTAAATGTTATTCAGCCCTTAAAAGGGAAGAAGTTCTGTCACGTACCATAACATGGTTGAACCTTTAGTACACTAAGCTAAGTGAGAGTGAAATAAGCCAATTGCAAAAAGATTCTGCACAGATGAGGAATCTAACAAATTCCTAGAAACAGAACACAGAATGCTGGTTTCCGGGCTGGGGGAAGGAGAGCAGAGAGAGGTGTTGTTCATTGGGTACAGAGCTTCACTTTTTCTTTTTTTCTAAATCCGATTTTATTGGTACATTTTAAATATACATAATGATCACATATACCATAGAGAATTTGTACCTGTACATGATATAACTTGTCTTTTTTTCCCATTCCCCACCCTTCCCTCAACCCGCTCCCCTCTCATTTTACAAAAGCTTGCTTCTACTTTTTCCATTTTTCTCTCTTTTTTAAAAAAGTTTCCCCTTCTTTCCTTTCCTCCTCCCCTTCCCTTGCTCCCCTCCCCATTTGGACATTTTCTTCCTATTTTACAATACCTATTATACACTTTGGTCCTCATTTCCACTGTCAGTTTCTCATACCAGATAAACAATGCGGTATTTACACGTGTGTGTCTGATTTATTTCACTTAAGAGGAGTTCTAGAGATCTGATGCACAAGGCACATGTAGTTAACACTACCACACTATTCGCTTAAAAATGGTTAAGACAGTAAATTTTATGTTGTGTGGTTTTTAGCACAAGAAAAAAAAGATACTCCCTTAAAATTGAGAGGCAGGAGATATGTTGATATATTTAAAAAACTATAAATTGATCATGCTTGCCAGACAAGTGCTGTGCTGCTAAGCTGTATCGCCAGCCCACATTTTTAGGTAGAGTAAAAGAAATAGGTAGACTCAGAAAACTCCTATGTTGCCTGTCTAGAGAAATGAGAACCTCACTGACAAAAGCAATTCTGGGAAACCCTATGTATTCAGTTTTGTAAAAGAATCCTGGCTCAAATACTCCCTGCTTTTAATCTTATGGCCTAGAGGCGGGTCCTGTGCTGAGAAACCAGAGGAATACCGATGGGCACCAGGAGAAGAGGGAGAAACACCCCGACACTGGAGACAGGCCAGCTGAGCTAGAGGGACAAGCAGCCACCTTTATGCTAGTGGCCTTCTGACCTAGCTCCAGATGAGTCAGGGTTAACGTGATCCCTCTGATATCACTTGAATTGGAGAATAATGCATTCGTTTATTTCCAGTACACCTGCTTAGAAGTCTACCTTACAAGTACATGAAGGAATACCTGAGAATATGGTTTGGAAGAGTATAGTTTGGAAGAGTAGTATTGGGCCTACTGAGTTGGTTATGGATGCTCCATCAGTTATTCCAAAAACAGACCACCGCTCTTCCAGGAAGCACACTAACCATACTGGATAGCTGAACTTAAGCTACCATGCTGGAAACAAAGAAGTTTACCACACATCATCACAAAACTCTCCACATTTGTCTTCATGCTTCCACCCTTCAGGAGCCCCCAGTACTCAGAAGTACTGGGGACAAAGTTCCTGGGCAGTGACCAGACCCTATACTCAGTGCTTTTCATACACCTCACTGCGTTCTCTCAACAGCATGGTGGTAAGGTGGTTCGTATAAGCCCCACCTTAGAGGTCAGGAGATGAAATTCAAAGAGGTTATATGGTTTGCCTAAGGTCCTTCAGCTGGTAAGAGGCACAGAAGGTATTCAAGGATCCTCTACTTACAAAACCTTTAGGAAATATCACGCAGTATCATATTAATAATGAAACTCAGGCTCTAAATTATCAGGTATTTATCAGAGCTAAATTGATCTCAATTCAAAGAGGTCAAAGAGAAGATGCTACCTTTCTAGTGAACCGGCAGTATTTCCTTCACTCACCTGGTATACAACAGACCTCAGAAGATAACTGTTAAACTGAACTGGAAAAAATGCTGCTGAGGACCTCCCTGTCAGCTGTACATTCGAGAAAGAGGTGTATCAGAAGATCCCCTTGCCTGCCTTCCCAACGGCAGTGCTGTTTGTTTTCTGACCTGACTGGGGTGCAACTGTGTAAAAACATAAAACAGACAGTCACACACACACCAGGATTCAGAAATCCGGGGCAAGCCCCAGGGAATGGGAGATGATGTCAGACACAAAATATGCAGTGACCCGAGTCTGGATCCTCAGCAAATTTCACAGACTAAACAGTGGGAGCAAGCAGGCGCTTGGGACTTGTGCTGACTGAGCCAGCAAGGTTACCCAGTGGCTGCTGGGTTGGCAGAATCTTTCTTAGCAGAGGACATACTAGGAACAAACCAGCAGGTAGAGACTTCTACACAAGCAGCAAGACTGGCTTGAGCAGCGCCTTGTGGGCTGCTCGTTCTCCCCTTGTTTCCAGATACATTCTCAATGAACATGGGGTGAAGCAGAAGCAGGCCCCCTTTTCTGGGAAAATTGGCAAGATTTCTGATAAGGAGTACGAAGCCACTGCAGATGAAGAGACTATGACAAAAGAGGGAAGTTTTAGACTGACTTTTTTCAGATTTAAGGAGAGGGGAGCAAGCCAGAAGCATGAGAGAAGAAAGAAGACATTAATGAAGGAAAAATAGCCAAGGCCACACTAAAAATACTTTGCAGGCACATATTTCTCCCAGCACATAGCCGTTTCTTTCAATTAAGGATGTGTCATTTCCTGGGTTATTAAATCCAGATCATGGAACATTCCACTCTGGGACAGTTACAGAAGGTCACGTTCTCAGCCCACCCAGCACCAGAACTGTGAAACATGAGGATGGTGGCCTCTGGTGTTTCTACCACTCCTCCTCGAGCTACTTGGAAGTTTCCCTTCAGGGTATGTCTGTGGAAAGCTTGGGGGAAGGTCGGGGTTGATACTTTTTCTCAGGTACCTCGAGCATCCCTGCAGTCACCCTAGAGGGCATCATCATCTCAAGCAGCCAGACTTGCAGCAGCCAGAATTTGGGAAAAATGACGCCGTAGTGACCACTCTGTCTTGATTACTATGATAAATGTCGATGACTTTCAGCATCTTGTAAAGCCAAAGTCACACAGCAAAAAAAGGTGTGCCTTACAAGATTCTAAGATACTAATAAGAAAAACACATTGCCCTCTCAGTGTCGGACACAGGGACCTGCACAGAGTTGTTACTCAATAATACCTGTCTTTTTTCTAGGAAGAACTGGCAGACTATATGCACAGTAGAGCCCATGTGCCCTTGAGTGTGGTTCCTCAACAGCCTCTTCTAATCCAGCGGTCTGGGACTTCTAGAACTTTAACCAGCATTTGAAACAATTGGCTTGCAATTTAAATGCCTTAAGAGTTGGGCAAATTATTAGTAAACGTGAATTAGGGAGAAACTGAACAGCAAAATGGGTTTCAGAGTTAATATAAAAATTGAGGATTCAAAGTGGGAAGGATTGTCAAACGCAGACAAGCCTGGATGACACCACGCTTTCCAATAAACTTTGAATGTAACTAATGTTTAGAAATCAGAAGATCACAGATATAAAGAGGGAAGGTCCCCCAATTTGTGCTTTTATGGAATAAATCAGCAGAGATAGGAATCGTAGACTTGCATGCAGCATCTGGCTGGAGCCAAGGAGCAGCACACCCTGTGGACGGGACATGCACTGTTCAGCCGCCAAAGGCCACTGCTACCCCTCGTTCGCATTCAGAGCTCTGTCGTTGGTTCTTTGGGTATCTGAGTTGGCAACTCCTAACCTAGTCTATCTCCTTTCTACCCAGGGAGAAGTGGCTCCATCTCTAAATCTCCCTCCCCTTACCCAGCACCTTTGCCAGAGGCTGCTGGTGTTTCTGAACACAAACTCCACAAGTGTGGGATGGAGTAGACAATGGGTCCCTCTGCTGCAAAGAACCATAAGATGTTTTATAAAGACTCAAAGGTAACTATACTCAAGTGACCTGCGACAGAAGGAGATAACCCTGTCCATCCCAAGCAAGAAGCTTCTTCAGACTTTTCTGCCCTTTCTTTCTCAGCCCCATCCCTTCCCTGGATAAGCCTGCCTCTGCCCTTCAACCCCCATCAGAGCTCATTACTGTGTACAAGCATTACCTCTCCTCAGGGAATTCTCTTCTTTCTACCATTTTTGGTTCACTCTGGGGGAAAAGAAAACACAGCTCTACCACAACTGTGCATGGTGAGGTATTCCATTTTTTCAGAACAGATAGGGAATACTACACTAGATTTACTCAAGTGCTCCCCAACTAGGAAGACTGAGGAATTTCTCAGGAAGCTGCAGTTTTATCAAGGAAGAACTATGATCAGTAGAAGATGAAGCACACTAGACCACAGCCATCAGGACAAGGATAACATCATTTCTCCATTACGTTTTGCAAAACAGTTATATGATTTGTTTGTGGCAGATGCGGTGCTGGGCATTTTACATGTTACTTCTTATTGTTACAATTCTACAAAGAAGGTATTGTCCCCTTTTTATATATGAAGAAAATAAACATAGGTTTTTCTCCTGGGAATAGATGAACCTAGACCTGGAGTAAAAAGCCTCTTCCAGGACTGACCTAGAGAAAAACTCATGGGCATACTTACGGTCTGCCATTCGCCTCTTCTCCACCAGCTGCTGTCTTTGACTCCACAGCACTGTTGAAGCTAGAGATGTTTTCAGAAGAGTAGAGGCCAGCAGGGTTGTTGTACTGGTTCTTGATGACTCTGGGGGCAGGTGAGGCAGTAAAGGGCATGGCACTTCGGTTGTGGGCACTTCCTATGTGTAAGACCTCCTGCAGGCAGGGAGCAAACAAGAAATCAAGAGGACTATCCAACACACACCCCTCAAGGGGCGTTGCAGGCCAATAGCCATGGAGAAGTTCCACCTGAGCCGTAAAGGCTCTGTTCAGACCCAACTTTAACTGAGAGACTGTGGAAGACCCACTGAGACAAGGCAAGGATGGGAAAGTGTCCCCAGAAGGGCATCTGTGCAAGTTCACACTCTTTGAATCAGCTCTGCCTTCTTATTCTCCAGATAGCCCTGGGCAGGACCCCTAATGCCTTGAGCTGCCAGGATCCAAATCTCAACTGCAGTACCCTTTCTGGAGACATTCTAGAAGGATTAAGGAATCACGAGGAAAGGAACATGCAGTCACGCTAGCCAGCACAGACCAGCAGACGACACAAAGTGACAAAAATTATCCCAGAGCTGAGCAGGTCTGGTTACCGGACGGGAGATTGTGGTGCTGCGGGGGAAGCAGCTGCCAACCAGGCAGAGGTGGGCTCAGTAGCTACCGAAGAGAATGGAAGGATTAGGAGCTACTGTTCATTGTAGGAGAAAGACAAAGCTACTCAGAGAGAAGGTTTAGGGGTATTTGTTACAGGGGTGGGAACTGTGGAGCTGCAAAAAGGACCTTGAGTTCCAAGCACTATTCTCTGCCCTCTGTAATTTGAGAGCAAACCTTCCACCCCCACCCTGGCCCTGCTACAAGTCAGGTGAATAATTACTACAACTACAACCTCAAAGAGCTTCCATACCATCACCCCTAACACTTTCTTTAAACTAACACTCCTTAAAAAAAACTCAGGTCTTTGATGACTCTGTAAGCAAGGTTCTGTCTGCTACAATGATCTGGACAAGCCACAGCTCTGAGATAACGCTTGCCTGGTGCAGCCGGCTGAACTCAAACCATGTTGTCACTATTTGATGAGTTCCTGAGAAAATCTTCCTGAATTCCAGTCTCTTTCATAAACACCCAATACCAGAACAGCTTTTCCAAGAGTTCCTATCCTTCTATTGCTCTTCCCGTTCTCCCTCCCCACTTCTTTTTTGTTAAATCTTCAATATTTTCTTAAAAACCATTACATATGGAAACTAACAGCTTAATTCACTGTATACCCAATTTTTTTAAAAAAAGACAACATAAAAAATATTTTTATAAGGTTCCTTATTCACTCTTCACACTGAATTTCTCTCCAACAAGTCAGAGTCTGAAATTTTACTCTGTAAAGTTACTTGACTTTGTCCACATCAGGTAAAAGCTAAGTGTACACAGATAATCACAAAGAAAGGGTACATAACTAATTAAGAAAAAAAAATCGACAGTAACCAAGAAACAGTTCAACAATTTTACGGCACAACTATTCAAAGGAATCATAAGAAATCATTAAGGATTCATTGCAAAAACAGCAGCAGATTTACCAATGGGCGACTTGGACTCTGGCTGCACACACCACAGTGCTGGGGACAGACACCCGGCCTGTGCTTCTCTACCGCAAATCCTGGGCGCAGCACTGAAGATGAACACGTGAAGAAACCCTTCTTTTTCTAACTTGGCTACATTTTTCCCTGCTACTGCCTGTTTAGCTGTGGGCAAATGACACATTTTTTATGTCATTTCTCATCTTTAAAATGAGTAAGATAAAGCTTTCTTCACAAAAGCTTGATGTGACAGAGTAACATACCAAGCACAGTGCCTGGCCCGTAGCAGATGTCCAACTGGCTCTGGTTCCTCTACCTCCATAGAAACACATTTCCAATTAACATGGAAGACCATGGAAAATTCAGGTTGGAAATCCTAATTTTTTACTTTATAAAGCAAGAATCCTTCTAGAGTGTATCTGGTTTGTACATAAATGGAATATTTCTATCCCCAGAAGGCAGGCAGATTCAGGACTTGCCTTTTGGAAAGGATGATGTAATTGTTTGGGCTTTGTATTTATCAGTCTCCAAGGAAACTCAATAATGAGGAAATGCAAACTAGGTGTGTAACTACACTGACCTCAGATAAGCTGGGGTGTTGGTTGGCTTGACATGCACTAACAGATCTTTTTACTATAGATGAACTCTGCTCTTAGTCATTTTTCATCTAGTTTAGGATAGGCAGAAGTGGAAGATTTTGTAAAAAGGAGAAGTGGAAAGTTTTCATAAGAATAAAGAATTACTAGAATCAAGAGAAAAATAAACATTAGATTTTAAAGTAGTTGAGAATTTTTAAAACTTCTGATATTTTAACATTACTTTCAAAATATTAACACAAGTAATCAGATCTTAAGTTTAAGGTGAAAATTCAAGTAAAATACAGAGAAAGTATGACTGCAATGTAAATTATGATTATCTTATTTAAGTAAAAACTAGGATTTCATATAAATCAAATTTAAACAAAATCATTTCTTATGTGCTGTAAAACATGAAAATAACACATTAAAATTTAACATTCATAGTAAATTTAATGAAATGGGTGAGAGCTCTTAGGGAAATTGAAATTAACTGTGTGGTATGTTTTAAATTAGTCTGCACAACAGCCAGTTTGTAGTCTTATCATTTTATGAACTTTTATTACAAGACTTGTATAGAATATGCTCATATTTTAAAATTACAGATTGAAAATTTTACTTAAAGTCACTTCTAGAATTTTTATATATGATTTTCAATTGTGGAAAAAAATTTGTGATTATATTTCTGAAATTTTAATGGGAACTATTTGAGAAAATATGACAACATCTACAATTGAATGACTTCAACTTCACACAATTCGATTTATGTAAAAGATAATAACCTGTATGTTATCCTTTTGTTTTATCTCCCTTCACCATAGAAACCAGTATTCTAAACTTAGGAAAAAAAATTAAATTTCAAATCTTTAACTGGGGTTAAATGTGTAACAATCACAACCCAGTCTAAAATTTGCAAATGTCACTATCAATTTATCCATTTAACATTATAAGTTATTAATTTATTCATCAGACATATATTTGCCACAAGCAACACATTAGGTATGAGAAACTTTACAAAAATGTTCTAAACATTCTTCTATTTCTTTTCCTTATTTCAAAAAGTATGCATTCATTGTAGATAATTTAATTATGTAGATAATTTAATTATATAAATAAAATCACCTATAAGCTAACTACTGAGAGATTTATTCATAAATGTGATCTAAGCGTAGAAAATAGTTTATTTAGTTAGCTTACGAATAAGGCAGCTAGGTAGTGGAAGAGTCTGAGATACAGTGGGGTAATCAGCCATACTGATAAAAACTGAGAATGAACTGAGACTCTGGACAAAGAATGAACTTCCTCAGGCAGCATGGAATGCAGCTCGCCCCCTACTAAAGAGGTACAGCCACTACCTAATAAGCTCCTGAATTTTGAGAAAATAATAATGCAAATTAATCAGTTCTTCTGAGATCCAAGTTTCTGGTAAACCCTACATGTCGAAGAACTGGGTTAAAGCCTGAGTCTCAGTTGGTCGTTTTAAATCCACAGGGCCACCTGCAGTAGGTGACCACTAAACAACTGAACAATTTCTGTGCTGTTTATCTATAATTAGCTCTAGGTCAGGAGGCCATGTGGTCACCCCACTCAGGACTTCTGGAAATCCAGGAGCTACTCTCCTCACTTCCAATAAAAACTCTTCTAACTTCCTTCGGTTTGCAGCTTCATTCCTCAGCATTTATGGAACCATAAACCTGGTACACACAGCATCATTAAGATAGTCTATTATTCCAGGAAATTCTGTTTAGCCAACAAATTGTGCAGCTATTCCCTATCACATTTTTCAATATTAACTGCCACTTTAATTTAGTAATTTTGATATCTCACTAGAAGTTTCACTGTAACAAAAACAGAAATATGTACCTAGGACTCATACGGGGCTATAGGGAAAAAAAAAACAAAAAACAAGGTTTACTATTGAATTACCCCTCATTTGTTTTAAAAGCTCCATGCCTCAGAACCTAAATCTACTTTCATTCCTGGGGTGATCTGCTTGTATCTTAAATCCCAAACAACCTGAGTTAGCTCCCTGATTTTACTTTGGTCCTGCCAATCCTACTTGTAGGAAGGCATCCACCCAGGAAGGTTTTTACCTGTTTCCCTTATCACCTTCCTCCCCTCAGCGCATGTGGGTTCCTGCACTGGGATTTTCCAGCCCTCCCCTCCCTCATTTCCCTTATAGGAAGAACTAAAAAAGAGCCACATTCCAGCAATGACGCTGAAGGACTCTCCCTGCCTAAGGCTTCGCAGGCCTCTAGGGCATGAGAAATGGGAATAGTGTACAATGATCAGATCAAAAGTGAGAAAGCTGCTGGTAGCATGAGGAGTTGCAATGATGAGAAAGTACTTACTTGAGGTTCAGAAGCTAAATTCATCTTGTATGGATGACGTTTCCCCTCCTCAGTCACTAGAGGAGACCAGATTTTATGTTCAGATCTGTAACAGATGAGCAAGGATATTATTTCTTTTTCATTTTGAGGATAGGCAGAGCTGAAGATTGAATCCAGGGTCTGGAGCATGCTAGGCAAGCACTCTAATCACTTAGCTAGACTCCCAGTCCAAAGCTATTGTTTTGGGCTGAGGATTTAGCTCAGCGGCACAGCACCCGCCTGGCAAGTGAGACATCGTAAGTTCGATTCCTGGTACCAGAAAAAAGCCAAAAGCAAAAACAAAAAAACCCACAAAGCTGTTGTTTCATTTGTGCTAAATTAACAATATAAGTAGCCCTCCACACCAATGGGTACCACATTCTCAAACTCAATCAACTACAGACAGGCAATATTTCAAAAAAATTGTATTGGTACTGAATATGTCTAAATTTTTTCTTTGTCACTGTTCCCTAAATAATACAGAATAGTGACTAAGAAGCACTTATACTATTTGTGTACTATAAGTAATCTAGAGTTAACTTACCAGAGGATATGTATAAACACTATGCCACTTCGTATAAGATACTTCAGTAGCCACAGATTTTGGTATCTGTGGGGTCCTAGAAAGAACCTCCCATGGGTACTAAGGGATGACTGTCTACACTAAAACCAGATTACAAAACATTCCCCTTCCATGCACTTTTACCCTGCATTGCAACCACTGTGATCTTTCAAAAGCCCCAATCTGGAGGCATCCGCTCATTTCTGATGATTTCCCACAAACAGGCCTTAGGTGGTTACCAAAGCTGTCCCATCTCCTTCTACGTAGCCTCAGCCTCTGTCATTACACTTTAAGGACCTGATACCAACCACACTCTTTCACGTTCCTGCCACTTGCCTCATGCAGCCCCACCTCTGCTCAGAATGGAATGAGCTCTTCCTATGGGCACAATGTTCCAGACCAGACCAAAGAATCAACTTACACATGAAGCTTGTTTGGCCCAAATGAAAGTAATGCCTCCTTTTTTAAGCTTGCAAAGGATTTTCTTCCTACCAATCACATGCAATAACTAGTGTAGTCTCAGTTTTCATTAGTGTAGGGTTGCAGGTAGAGACTATAAGAATCTTTGTTTTTGTCAGAAGTCCAGCACACTGTCAGGCACAAAATGCATCTGTTCAATTGTTGGTAAATGAATAGAAAAATCAATTAATCAACTAGTTAATGAATGCATCAATGACTTCAACCAGGGCTTAAAAGAAAGTATTTATACTGAGACACAAATGGAAATAAGAATGAGGAGTGAATGTGCTTTTGAGAGGAAGGGTCTTAATAAAATGCTGCACCTCATATGGGGTGGGGCTCTGAAGTGTAAAGTATTTTGCCATAATGTCCCACTCTTGGTCCTCTTGCCAACTCCACGGCACAGAGCAGGAGAAAGTAATGCATACACTTTACAGAACCCAGTGAAGAGCTGCGGAAGCCAAGGTTATGAGACACTAAAGGTCAGGTTCACAGATCAGAAGGAAGAACCTGAACTTGATCCAATAGGAAACAGGAAGCCATTGAAGGCTGAATCAAATCACTCCTAAAATCTTGCTTTTGTAGAAGCTCTTCCAAGACTAATGAAAGAATGGAAATTCTACCCTAATTACAACTCCCAAGGTGTTCTGCTTGCTTGTCCTTTCAACCACAGCTCTCTCTCTTGTAGTACACTAAAAGGTACACTCAGCATTTTGTCTAACATGTTACTATAGTCTTTCTCTGTTACTATAGTCTCCTGGCACAATACTTGCTCAATGTACTGTGGCAGGAGCAGCATCCTAAACTGATGCTGAATGGTCTCTAGGAAGAATTTTTCATTTTAATATACCTAACAATAGTTAATTGATTTTAACTTACTCAGAATTTTGGTTAGTTGTGCTGAATCAAGTGAAAATGTAGGTATCTAAAAGAAGCCCACAGAGGGGCTGGGGATTTAGCTCAGCGGCAAAAGCACTTGCCTGGCAAGCGCAAGGTCGTGAGTTCGGTTCCCGGTACCGGAGAAAAACCAAAACCAAAAAAAATAAAAAATAAAAAAATAAAAGAAGCCCACAGGATCAGGGATGCAGCTCAGGAGCACAGTGCCTGCTTGGCAAGCGCAAGGCCCTGAGTTCCATTCCCGGCACCAAAAAAATAAAAGAAGCCTATTATACAAAAATTATAGAGGAAAAAGTGCAACCTGAAATTCCGGGTCTACAGAATTTTTGGCATGCTTCCAGCATGCACAGCATGGAGTTAGGGGGTACAGGGAGCTCTGAGATGGGAAAAGAAGTCCCTGCACACAAACACCTTCTAATTGGTCAAAAATAAACAAATGTGTCCGCAGCTCACCTGGTTACTGTGAGAGTCATGTTGTCTGTACAGCCCTTGATTTTGTTCTGAGCTTCCAAGTGCGTCATATTGCTGGTATTTTCCCCATCAATGGCCGTGATTACATCTCCAATACATAAATTAGCTGTGGCAGCTTTGCTTCCAGGAGTGACCTGGTAACAAAGGGGAAAGCAGGCTAGTTACCATGTGTCCCAAGAAAACCACAAAGTGACCATCAGGTTAACTATTCACTTATTTGTAGAAAAGCATTTAAAAAGGAGAAAGGGCTGAAGTCCAGACTCTGAATAATAATAACCCTTTACATTTAGGTTATCATTCACAAAGAGTCCTCTTCTGTGTGTGATCTCACTGGATCCTTACAACAACCTTGTGAGAAAGGACAAATATCAGGCTCCATTTGAAAGACCAGGAAATTGAGGCTTAGAAAGGTTCAAAACTTACCAATGATCACCCAACTAGTATATCACCTAGTATACCACTAATAGACTACTCCTTCAACTAGTCTATTACAATCTCAAACCCTGAACCAGACCCAGTGTTCTTCCCACTGAATCTTGTTACTTCCTTGAAATAAGTCACCAATTACATTTTAAAAACACACACACTTTCAGAGAACATTATATAAAGTAAACCCTGCATCTAAATAAATCTTAATATGTTATTATATGCACAAAAGGAAACTGGAACACTGCACACCGAATTGCTCACTGTGATACATTTCTGTGATGTGTTTAACAATGAGCTTGAATGACTTTCGCAATTTAAAAAAGCAATGAAGAATATTCTTAAATATGGTATGTTTAAAATATGGGTTTACATTGATTCATTTCTTCCCACTCAAGAAGTTGGCTGTGATTGGCATCCTTCCCATAGGTAGATGGTTTTCTGCAAGCTGATGCTTCTAAACCAATGGTTCTAAATTTATAGACCACCGACACTTGCAAGAAGTCAGTCAATTACTGCACCAAGTCTGCAAATCCACCTGCCTACTGAGTAGTACAAGCGGACTGAATAAATAGCATGTCTCTCACGCATATGTACAACTATTTTCAAGTGAATACCAATGTAGTTTTGAGGAACAAAGTATACAAAGTCATTTTGAAGTAGTATTAACCTCAGAGTAAATGGCTGCTACTGGGTATTTTCTAAAGCAAGTTATACTAAAAATGTTACTACTATCACTCTAGTGTCAGCCTAGAACTTTCTGACATCAAAAAGCTGTCTTGGCTGGGAATCCAAGTCCCCAGGAGCAGTGTGGTACCAACGACCCCCAGGCTCTCAGGGCCCACAGGGCTGTGGTTTGTCCCTGGAAAAGTCCTGCTGGCTCCTGGGAAACAACGCAGAAAGATGTAATGAACACCCGTTACCTCTACAAGGCTGAACCACAGGTACAAGGCCCTCCAAGGCACCAGAGCAGGTGTGACCCCCCACATCTGATATAGTTTTCAGCATTCCGTTTCTGGTCAGCCCACACTAAACTGAAAACGTTAACCCCCGTGGAACACTTGGTGTGGGACTACAGTCATAGTTCACTCCCTCATCAGCACCCTGACCTCACAAAATGATGTGGGGGTGAGTTGATCCTCAAGCTCCCTTCTGCTCCAACACACGATGACTTTATCAGGCAAAACTCCCCTGGAATGTGGCAGGATGTGGAAACCGAGACAGAGATCTTGACCTTCTAACCTTTCTCTCTGGCTTTCCCATCATCTGTTTACCAGAGATCTGGCATAGAAAATGAAAGCCCCTAATTCAAGGTTCAGACCTTCTCCCAGGCAGCCAATGAGACGAGAGATAGGAGAGCGCAGGCTGCTCTTTCTTCAGTCAACATTGGGAAGTTTGCTTCTGAGTCATCTGCAGCAGGCAGTATAAACAAAGTGCTCTCATGCTTCTGACCCATCTTCCTGAGAAGGTTGAGCTGCTGTGACTTCAGATATATTCTGCCTTTACTAAAGGACAAAATACAAATTCATTTTTTAAATTCCTCTATCTACATGTACTACTTCATTTGAGAGAGGCAAAGGTTCTAGATCGGCGGACTTCACCTGAATCAAGGAGGATACTGCCTGCTCAAACTCACTTACTGTGCCAAATCTAGCAGTGTTAAAGAGCAGTCACCTGAGGATAAAATCCAAAATCTTTAGCAAGGCCCTACAGGCAGGGCTTTCCTCCTTACCTTCATTATGGCACCTTCCCTCTAAGCCCTAGCTACAGGGACCACCCCAAGCTCTTTTCCACTTCAGGAACTTAGCTGATTACAAGGCTCACCTTATAAGACTTTTCTGAGAGCCCTCCCTGACCTCCAATCTAGAGGTGATCTCCATCAGCCTACTGATGCAGTCTGTTCTTCGAGGCGCCTGTCACATTCTTTTGGTAAAGCTCTTTGGGCATGTGACCGTGTCTACTATAAGGGTAAAGTGTATGAGGGCAGGTTCGTGTGTCAAAGTATACCCAGTCCTCAATAAATATTTACCTAGTGAATGACTAAATCTAAAATATCTAGTGTTGTTAAACATGCAGTCAGCCTATTTCACTTTGTCCTTTAAAGTGGATATTTCAAAATAATCAAAAATATTTTCATTTTAAAATCAAATAATCACCTCCCTTCACGTCAATATCCTGGAACATATCCACTCACAAAACTAAAATAATGAGACTAGGCAAGAAGGAAGGGGTTGCTCAAAAGATAAAATACAAGTTTCTTTTTACTTTCTTATATTCAGTTATTGCTAGGTTTGAACTTTCCAGCATTTGGTCCAAACTGTTTCTCAGGAGTGGCATTTTTGCTCAGAACATTCCTTCCCAACAGGCCCTGGACAAGCTAGAACCAGTTTGACAAGCCCCAAGTCTGAGTAATCAAGACTTAGCCATTCTATCTGTCTTTAGTCTGATTTTTTTCTTTCTTTCTTTTTTTTCTTTCTTTGCTTTCTTCCTTCCTTCCTTCCTTTTCTTTCTTTTTATTTTTAAGTCAAATTCATAAGAGGCCAAAGGAAAACTTGGAAAATTACATGACAATATCATCAAATGGCACACACATGTAATTACTCATAAGCAGATTAAGTGCATATGCTTTTATGAGCCATATCTTTTTGGGAAAAATGCATTTATGTAAACAAATTACACACTTTGTTTTACAAAGCTTTTTCATACACAATCTCCTATTTGAGATAATAATAATGATGAATTCACTACAAATAGATAACTTAACAGGTAAGGGGAAAAAAAAGACAAACAAGTTTTGTGATGGGTTTAAGTTCACAAATAAAGGCCTTGGACCTAAATTTGAAACTACATCTCATTTCAAATTCTATACTTTTCTGCTTTAGCAAAATGCCAAAACAGACTCTGAACCCAATAATCAGAGCTACAGAAAAATGCAGGGGTCTTCTACACAAGGACCGGAGTGTCACAGCCTGCTGCTGACTGAATGCCTCCCTGGCCTAGGACAACGGCCCCACTGCTCTGGACTGTGCAGTGCCCAGGACCCACCCTTTACAAACTCTGCAGATCATAACCTGGAACCGAAATGGGCTGAAGGAGAGAAGGCCTGTGCCTCAGTATTGAAGAGTTCCTATCTGGAAAGAGGGCCAAAAACACATCCTGGAGGGAAGACAGCTTCTTTAATAAATGGTGCTAGAAAAACTGGACATCCATATGCAAAAGACTGAGTCTACACACATATGCCTCAGCATGAACTAAACTAAAATCAAAATGGATCAAAGATCTAAATGTTAAAACAGAAGCAATGTTCTGGAAGACAAAATAGGTAAAACTCTTAAAGACAGAGGCACAGGCAAGGACTTTCTGAACAGAACCCCGGTGGCACAAGCAATAATACCAACAATTAACAAAGGGGATCATATCAAATTAAAAAGCACAGCAAAGGAAACAACCAGCAGAGTAGAAAAACAACCTACAGAATGGGAAAAAATTTTTTGCCAGCTATGTATTCCTCAGAGAACTGGCATGTAGACCACATGAAGAACTCAAAAATCTTAATCTCTTCAAAATAAAGGACCCAATCAAAAAAAGGGCAACTACAATGAGTAGACATTTCTCAGAAGGACAAGTCCAAATGGCCAATAAATACTACATGAAAAAATGTTCAACACTGCTGGCCATTTGAAGAATGCAAATTAAAACAACACTAAGTTTCCATCTTACTCCAGAAAGAATGACTATCATCAAGAAACGGTAACAAACACTGAAAAGGTGGCGAGTGTGTGTGTGTGCGTGTGTGGGGGTGGGTGTCTTCCCCATTGTTGGAGGGAATATAAACTAATATAACCATTAAGGGGATCAGTATGAAAAGTACTCAAAAAGTTAAAAACAGAAATTGCACTGGACCCAGATGTTCCCCTTTAGGTGTCTTCCCACAAGAGTTAAAGTTATCACATGACAGTGATACATGCATACCCATGTTTATAGCAGTATAATTTATAATAGCTAAATCTTGGAAATAGCCTATATGCCCATCAACAGATGAATCAAAGGAAATGTGGTATTTACATAAAATGGAGTATTACTGTGCAATAAAAAACAACTTGAGGTATCTGTAGAAAAATGGATGTACTTCGAGACCATAATGTTAAATGATATAAATCAGACACACAAGTTTAAATATTACATGGTTTCTCTTATATAAGAAACCCAAAGTATAAAGAGCAAAATAAATGATAGATTATAGGAAGTAGGGGGATCTTTTTCAAATGGGAACGGGAATAAGAGATGGAGGGAGTGGGGAGAGAAGGGAAAGGTGATTTAAAATAAATCAATAAATAACGCTTTTGCAACTGGGAAGAACAAAAGCTGGAGGGAACAGAGAGGGGTGGGAGGGGGAGGGAAAAGAAAAGAATTAAGATGTGTTATGTACATATACAAACTCCCCACAATAACTGTAATCATTATGTACTGCAAACATATACATTTAACACTTTTTTAAAATTTTAAAATAAAAAAATCATTTCTAAACAAAAAAGGGTTCTGTCTGTAACGTGGATTCTAGTTCTTGCCATTTATTACTTCTACATCATAATCAACCATAATCAAAAGAGTGGCCATCAGTTAATGGATGTTTATTACGTACTAAGCTCAATCCAAGCGTGTAGCAAGGGTTAATTTACAATCTTCCCGTGATACAATCAGGCAGGCAACATTATTTGCATCATCACAGGTGAGGAGATACAGGGACAGGAGCTAAGCAGTTTGTCTGAGGTGTCTCAGCTGGTGAGTAGCAGACCACAGCAGGCTCCACCCGGCCATGAAAGTCCACCAGAACCATCTCATGATGGAGTCAGCTTCAACTTCTAAAGAAGAAACTCCATACTCCCCTCCAAAGAAGAAAAGACCCATTAGTTCAATGGGCTCCCCAAAATACATTTGCCTGCTTTCTCCCTCACAGACCCTACAATTAGAGCACGGAACTCTTGCTGGGGAAGAGTAAATAGGTTTAGGTATAAAAACTGCCACTTATTTTTTGGTAATTTACCATTTCCTGCACTATTCATCATGATGCCTTCACCCTTTGGCCCAGGTCCCACCCGTGGGCAGACACTGGTTGCTTGGAGGCCAACTTAAACATCTACTCTACACTACAAGTTTATGACATGTCTTCAGGACCTGTGTATTGTTGCCAAAGTCCCGAGCACTGATTTTTCAAGATTTTAATTTCTCTCCTACATGGTGCAAAACAGAACGATGAGGTAGTCTCACATTTTCTTCAAATTCAACCTCCTCCCTGGTGATACAGGAGTGATCAAAACATACAGAGAATATTTAATTTTTTAAAAATTTATTCCAGTAAAGAATACATGAGGCCGGGGATACAGCTCAATGGCACAAGCGCCTGCCTGGCAAGCGCAAGGTCCTGAGTTCGATTCTTACATCCGGTAATCTGAGCAACTTCGTTGAAGATAACAATATGTAATATAACAACCATTGTTAATTCCTATCATCTTGTTTTGAAATCCTGTATAGTTTTTGTTTTTGTGTTGTTTTGTTTTTGTCTTTGTTGTTGTTATTTTATTTTTCTCTCTTTAAAATAAAAAAAGAATACATTGTCACTGATGCCCCTCATTTCTTCCCTTAGTGTCTTATTGAGGTCTGATCAAATACATGGTGAATGCTGCTGGTAAGTGACAGTCAATGTAAAAACAGCCTCATAAAAATATTATGGTATGTCGCCATCCATCTTACTCACTGGATCAGGCACCATGCAACTCCCCAAAGTCAAAATGAGCGTGAAAGGTAAGCACTTTAAATTGATTCAGGACCCCGAAGCAGCCACAACAGCACAACTAAAGGCATGAAAGAAGAATTCCAGAACTGTTTCAGAAAGTGGCAAGAATACAGGAAGTCAGGGGAGTATTCTTCGGGGTATTAATGGCAATGTGTCTTTTACTGTAATACATTTTTAAAATTTAAATATTCACCATGTTTTTGAACAAACCTTGTAATGGCATGTTTCTGTTTCAGCTCTTCCCTGCTCTCACTCTCTTGTTCGCTGACTCATCAAACACCCTTATGCGTATTCTGAAAGATGGTGTGGATTGTTAGGTAAGATGCGGCTTCTGGAGTCAGAAGGCTAGGGCTTAAGTCCTGCCTCGGAAACCAGTGAGCTCGGGGTCCTCCACGTGCTTCACTCTTCTCATCTATTTGACAAGGATGGAAGTAATGTTCCTGATACCAGCAGCCTGTTGTGATGATTGCATGAGACAACTAAGGCACAGCACACTGTGAGAGCTCTAACAAAAAAGAGAGATTTTATTTGCAGATGACAAGAACTACACAAGGCACTGGAACACAGCTGTGAAAAGGACAGTGCCAGCCAGCAAGGAGTTCACAATCTATGGAGGACAGAGAACATGGACAAGAGCTAACAAATGCTCTGCCCAAATCAATGAGGCAATGGAAGCCAAAGGTGGAATCAAAAAAGATTCCCTGAAAAAGGTGCTGTGTAAAACCGCAAAGCCACATAAGGTGGCTGAAAAGAACATGCCAAGTTCCGGGAACAGCATGTGGACTAGCATGGATGAAACACAGGAAGCAAAGGGAGGGGAAGGGGCAGAAGAGGATAGGGCAGAAGAAGGGGATAGGCCTGTAAAAGCCCTGTTCTGTCACTGATAAAGCAACAAAAGAACTGAAACACAGCACATGACATGTCCATTTAGCTATAGCTAAGAA